ATATATATATATATATATATATCCTATGAATATGTTGTTAGAGACCATCGCCACCAGACGATCTAGTTAGTTGAAGAGTGACACTTGATTTTCTCCATCAATCGTTTTTAACATGAATGATTGTCGCATAAACACTTGTATTGTGGTTTGTTATTTTGTAATTAATAACTGGCGCTATTTCTCTTCACACACGTACATATATATATATATATATATATATATATATATATAGATATGACGACTTATGTTCACAGTTGTTATTATTTCTATATGAAGTCATATACCAAACAGTATATAAAGATTTTATTTATTAAAGTGTATATATAGGAAGTAAATTATTAAAGAAGCATATTTTATATATACGTGTGAATGTATGTAAACAATTCTTTGGTTTTGTTTATTGTTTCAGTTGTTAAGATTCTTTTCTTTTTCTTTTTCCATTTTTTTTTTTTTTTTTTCATTTTATTTTTTTTAACTTCATATGCATAGTACATGTAACAATACGAACACACACCCACACACACGCATATGTCAAGTTGGTGGTGTTGGTGAAGTTTGTTGAATGAAAAAATCTGCTTAAAGTCACATACGTTCTTCGGTAATGCATCATGCCTGAGTTGTTTTTGGTGCATTGGTATAACGTTATGGATCTAACGTTATTACCGCTGTAACTATGGTTTTTTTTTTGTTTGAAACATTTTTACATATTATAAGGTGTTTTTCTAGAGCGCATTCTATAGCGCATTTTCAAGTACAAACAATAATAAATAAATAATAAATAAATAAATAAATAAAAAATAAATAAAATAAAAATATTATTGTTTGTACATATAGACAAGCAAACGTACATACATATTAGTTGAAAGTATTCGCTTAGAATTCATTTGATTTTATGTATAGAAATTAACATCGAACGGCTATGATTTAAATTTGTTGTTGTGTATAGTCAATCGATAACAAACGTTCATATAGTATTTCTTCCTTTCTAGGTCACGAATACAAAAATTTTATGATTTTTTTTTTTTTTTTTTTTTAACAAATTACTATGTCAAATCTAGCGAAACTTGTATATGTACATACATATATATGTATATATATATATATGACATAATAGAGGTAAAAAGAATCGAGTAACATTCTCTTTAAAAAAAAAAAGCATTTCATGATTCACTTCGAGAAGTTTATTTTAGCATGTAATGAAATTCAATCATAAAAATCCCAATTTCTCTAATAAGAGCAATAGCAATAGCAGCAACACCTTGTCAAGCAGGAAGTTCGTTTCAATGTCTCTTTACTATTAAAATCCACGTGCGCTGCAAAATGAAACGATTTAACTGATTTTTAAAAGCTTAATCTGAGGAGATCAGAAAGCTAAAAAAAAAAAAAAAAAAAAAAAAATAATGGAAACGAAGGAAATAAGGTTTTCAAGTCATACAATCGTGACTTGTAGTAAATAGACAAACAATAGAAAGAAGAGAAAAAATAAAAAAAAAAAAACTATTCAGCTACACATATACATGCGCAAAAATAGACATACTTTTAAGGCGTCCTCGCGGTATTACAAACTTTCGATAACACTACTGCCTATATGGGATTTTTATTGCTTATAATAACGATGGAGCGTCCATGGGCGTCCATATTCGATATATTAAATCTTGCAAAAGTATACTACGAAGAGTCTATGCATCCTGTAGAGGAGTAGGCAGTACCGATTCATGCAGATTCTGCAAAGGGGCGTGGGAGATGTCTCATTATATTCCATGTGAATGTGAGGCCATCTTCAGAATTAGACACCAAGAGTTTGGCGAGCATTTTATTACGCTGGACACAATATAGTGCTTCGATCCAAAGAAGTTGGTGGGATTCTTAAAATTCCTAAAACTGGAGAGCTAGTGGCATGGGCGTGTACAATGGTTCTCATCGGTCGTGGTGCGTCTTGCCCACGTAATTAATTAATAATAATGCAGTAAGTGTCAGGGAACAGATGTGGCCACGTGTACCCTTCCGTCCATATGATTATATCACGTTTCCATGCACAAATCAAAATTATACAACTTAAAGCTTTCCTATTGATCACAATTTCAACTGACGGCCATCCGGATGAACTTGGTTTAATCAATTTCACTATTTAAGCCAATCAAGAGCATCTATAGCCATAGGTATTTTAGGCTGAGCAAAACAACGCAGACAGAGGTAAAAAGAGAGGAACGGACGGATGGACATTACAAGTGCATATTAAACTTGTTCGGATATATGCAACACGCAGAATGACTTTAAATAGATCCACCGGTCGATTCAGAAACGTATTCTCTCTGTCTTGTGTTCGACCTACACGACGCTGTTTTTGAGATATTTTAATAAAATACCGTACACTGACTTGTTTTGACACAAGCATCAAAACTATTTTGAAAAGTCGTTATATGAATAATTGTAGGGTGGTGGTAGGCTATGGTTCGCTATAACTATTTTCCGTTTTTAGGGGTTCGTTCGCCATGTTACGGAAAAATTATAACCGTTTAATGCAGTTAATGCCGTACAATGATCGAATTAACATATTCCCATAATTGGAAATGCACCCAAGTGCTCTAAATACTAAATTTAATTACGTATGTGCCTTAACGGGATACAACACGTGTCGAAGTGTTGAGGTGCTTAAGCAAGTACAAACACATTTTATGCGGGATACTAAAAAGAAGGGCGAAAAAGACATATCGTGCTGTAAACAATTATTACCAAAATTTATATGCAACCAAAAAAACACTCTCTTCTATATGTTAGATACATTGCTGCATATGTGCAGAGGGGAAGTGAAGTTTTGACAATATTAGCTAATGCACAAGATATTCAGTCTCCGTAAGACAAAAGCTCACCCATTCACTTAAATAAATATCATCGAGATTAGTCTACAGATTTTGCAGACACAAGAAGAAGAAGAAAAGTCAACTAAATTAAAAAAAAATAAAAAATTGGTAAGATACATACCAACCTTTTGTAGTCAACCAATGAAAACATTTGTTAAAGTCGCATAACTCTGTCGATCGTTTCGACTATGACTTCCCGTAAATGCGAAAAATTTGTATCTAGGGGCAGAATTTCTTATGTCAATCTTGATGACAACATTTTAAAATAAATTATGACTTAGCTTTTAAACAAGTAATGCACATACACGGATGCAAATCACTTCATATATGTTGAATTAAGAAAAAAGTTCGTGGCGTTTTTTATAATGAATGTTTTTGCGGTTATTTTGGTAACACTATTGTAACGGTCCACACTACAAAGCAAGTAAACGATGAGATTGTATAGAAAATTTGAAAAAGAAGAAACACATTCATTAATTTAATCGAAAGTAATTGAGTTTTGAGAATAAATAAAATCGTTTTACTCTGCAAAATCATCCTTTCGATCATGATCGCAAAGTTTATCAAGGCTTGCGAGAAAGTTCGTGGTAGTTACAGTGCAGATGCTTTATTATTGTTAATGGCAAGGAAATATTCTGCTTGCTTCCACTCTAGAAGCTTCGATGTCAAAGGTTTGCCATACTCTCACCAATCGTTCTTCAAAAAGGGAGATAAAGTCGGTACTTTTCAACTGACGGCCTCATGTCTGAATTCTAGATTGGCTAAAACATAATTTTCAACGATTTGCATAAAGCTGGATACAAAAAGTATTTCGATATTTGAACACCACATGAATTAATAAAGACATGCACGCCTGCAGTGAAATTACATTCACCAGCGAAATGCTGCTGAGAAGAAATAAAATCAAGCCATGTCTGATGAGATTGATAACCGATAATGAAAAATGGATAAGATATGACAATAATGTGTGGAAAATATCAAAGCTGCACAAACGTCCAAATTAGCATCACTTAAGTTAATGCTGTCATGTTTCATGTAATATATCATTAGTTGCGCACATCTAGCGAATCGAGTGAATTCGTTCCTTACTATCAACAAGTCAGACGATGAAAGCACATAAACGGAGTACAGCATCGGAAAAAGATTAATAGGGAAAGCCTCGCCCGTGATCGTGACAATCCCAGACCAAACATTGGCCCGGCCCAAAATTGAGAGAATTTAGCTAAGTAACTCCGAGTTTCTATAATGTCCAAAGCAAAAAAAAATTTCCATGGTTCACCTCCCCAAGAGTTTATTTGATTTTTAAGCTTGATAATACTTAACAGCGACTTAACACTCCAAACGAAAGTATTAGGTCGTAATCTAAGAAAAATTGCATTAATTATCGAATTTTTGCTAATTTTGCTAAAATAATCCTATGACGTAAAGAACTGAATTCAGAGATCGTGAAAAGGGTTATGGTAAGTGAATGAGTTCATAGCGCGTATGATTAATTCTAATGTAATGTGTGAATGCTTCAATGCACGTAATTTAATCCTTTTGCTTTTAACATGTTTTTCCTTTATATTCTTAGCACTTTTTCGATCTCTTTTGTACCCAGTGATGGGAGAAACGTATAAAGTCTCAATCGTACGCGAAAGGTGAAGTTAGGAAAGCTAAAGCTAAAATATACAATGGGAAGGCGGACTATAGACTTAACGGACGAAGAAACATACACACATGCTGGTGGCCAAAAATATCAAAGAGGCGAAGCGGTAAAGAGACACACATTTTCGAAGGGACGTACAAGTAACGGAGGAATGCTTGACAGTGCAGTTTAGGAATTTATATTTTTCAAATTCTTCTTCTTCTTCTTCTTCACTCTATGTTCAACCAACATCGAAGGATGGGGGTAATTTTCAATTTGTCAAAAGGTTTCCAACGTTAGCCCAGAAGGAAGCTTCAGGGAACCGGCAGGGTACATGCACTCTTGATCAGCATCAAATTGTAAATCAATTTAAGCACGTCCGTCTATCCGTCTTGGTCCCGATGACAGGTATAAAAGTCTCGTCCCTCACAACCAAATATAATTTTCTTTCTTGTTTTTTTTAATTTTAATTTGACAGCCTAAGGATCCTCTGACATGGCAAGTGAAAAAAGTAAATTCACGACAACAAAACCATCAAATCAAGTTAAGGACAGATGCGAAGCAAATACTCTTAAAGACACCTGGCTAAGTCGATTGCGCTAGTCATACTTAGCAAGTAATAAAATTTACATTTTAAGGGCTGCATTACAGCAATAAACGTAAAAGTAAACCTTACACAAACCTATACCAACCTCTGTAATGAGTATAAAAATATTAAAATAAAGCAAATACAAGCGCTATAGTAGGCCATGAGTCACCGCAAAATACCCTACACCGCTCTATAGTTATTCATCCAACTACTTTTTCAAATGAGGTGTCATAAGGAAAATGCTCGAAAAAATGGTCCGATCCAAAATATTTTTAATAGCATGCGCCCTTGGACCGAAACACGTCAGTGTAACAAATTTCATCGAAATAATAGTGATCAGTCGGCGGAAGAAAAAGAATTTTCAAAACAGACAGACGGACAGACAGAAAGTGATTCTGAATAGGTGTGTCAAGTTTTTCTAGGTGTTGGATAGGTTCGTACAAACTTATTATACCCTTGCATAGTAAGCGTTATAGGGTATAATTATGTACGACTTGGATCGGATATTTTATTACTCACTACTACCTTCTTAGGTCATTTAGGTTAGAATAAAAGGGAACAAATATCAGTTTCTCGGTATTAATGGACAAACAATGTTACAGTTTACCTAAAATATTTTTTAGCTCAAGCTTTGGTTGTAACGTTATTAACGAAAGCTTCAGATCCATACCACTTCTTATTCCCTAATGCAATAAAAAGCCCAACGTGAATAAATTCCTTACTATTATTAGCTGGACAAAAAAAGCTGCCTCCCAAAAGTGGTTGATAAGGCAAAATTAGAGATCCAGTTCGTCTCTTTGGGCAAAGTTTTCAAAGTGTAATCACATTTCTCATCTGATGGAGAGCTACAAACACAAGCATGACATCAATTCATCTCCTCATGTTATGCTTGCATGCCATGCGTGCCTGCTACTACTATGCACTCTATGCGTTACATACACTTTGCAAACTTAATAAACCAACTCTTTTGTACTGATATATACATATATATATATATATACACCTATGTCCGCGTTTATTACTCCGTAGTATATTAATATAGTTTCAATTAACTGAAACTAAGGTATTTGTTACATTTGACGCCAGCAAATCAAGCAATGCATATACAAACATCTTAAGTACATATACGCAATGGTGGAATCCTCTATATATATATATGTGTATATGGCAATGCTAGGTAATTAATGGTGGTTGCAATACAGCCCGCATTACTTTAATGAAATGCTTAACAATATGTATGGTTTTCGAGGTTAGAAAATTAAACAGTAACAATAACAACAACAATTACATACAATTTTTTGTGGCTTACTTGCCTTAAGTAATTATTTATTTGTAAAATTTTGTTGTTTCGTTTCTCTTATTTTTCACACATTTAATTAAAACGTGTTTTGCATAAATGATACGGTTTGTTTTTTTTTTTTTTTTTTAATTTATATTACGTCTATGCATAATTTCATAGCAAAACGCTGACGCAATTGCTTTGCTCCGCATGCTTGCAATTTATGCCAATATATGAAACAAGTCGTTATTCAAGAAATCTTCATAAGATATATTAAGTGATAACACTTTTTAAAATTCGACAAAGAAATCAGATACATAAGACATCA